CGTGAGATTGTCATAGGCCATCTTGGTTCCTACGAGCACTTCATTCGTGTGAATTTATGTTCTGATTTTCCATTGCCGCCTATGTGCATGTTTTGGGAGAACTACCGAGATGTTTCGGTTGCACATTGGCCGAATCAGTACCAGAGCAGGTTCCAGTTGTGGCATGATATTCGTACCGCAGCTGGGGTATATTGTGATATTTGACATTCATCATATTTTCATGCATTATGCGTATATGTTCGTACTATGTTTACGAGTGATAGATTGTGATATCTCGACGTGTTTACCGTTTCATGTGATATAATTGTTTTTTTTTTTTGTTTGTTTGGATGAAAATAAAATTAACTAACCATAACAAAACAAACGTAAAATAATTCTACTAATAATTTGTTACAAAACAAACATAAAGTAATATAAAGTAACCATAACAAAACAAACATACAGTAATATATATATTTATTACATCACTACTGCACTTTATCGAAATTTGACTTCAATTGAGCAATTTTTTCTGCAAAAAATGCCGCCCTTTCAGGATCAAGTGCCGCGAACTCCCGATGCATATCTGATGTCATGGACAAACACTGTCCGACCCACTGCACAAAGCACAAGAAAATAAAATATATACACACATTTAAATTATAAAACATAAAAAAGTGTAATGAACGTATAATAAATAAATAAAATTTTGTAAACGACTTACAAAATCGATGTTGGCGCGCGCAGGGACAGCCTCGCCGTCCGCCTGACTATCGGGCAAGAGCCTAGGATGAGAATACCGCTCATTTCGATTTCTCTCCAAACTCGTTACAAACTTTATTATTATTATTATTATAATAAAAAGATATTATAAACTTTTTTTTTGCTGAAGTTATTTATTCTAAAATTAATATAATATTTTTTATATTATTTATCGATTGTAAACAACAATAAATACGTAAATTAATTAAACTTCATTTCGATTTCTCTCCAAACTCGTTACAAACTTTATTATTATTATTATTATTATAAAATGATATTATAAACTTTTTTTTTTGCTGAAGTTATTTATTCTAAAATTAATATAATATTTTTTATATTATTTACCGATTGTAAACAACAATAAATACGTAAATTATTTACATGATGATGAGGCTGCGCCCGCATAACGACCCCCAGCCTGTCGTGGAGGATCCACTCGGGCAAGTCGTTTACCTGGACGTGCCTGTGGCTGTGCCCGGGGCTGGGGATGTGG